GGCTCTGGTCTGTACTCACTACACACTGGGTCCCACCACACAGGGTCAGGTTAGGTCAGGTCAGGTCAGGTAGCTGCTGTGTCGTGCGACTGTCGGTCACTCATCCACCCATCGGTCCTCTGGCACCACCGTCTAGGTCACCCGTCGTTCCCACGTCTCAGTAGGATGGTACGTCACCGTCTGGTCTCAGGTCTCCCACAGTCGCTTGCCCCGCTTCCTCGCTCGCCTGCGCCACCGTGCACTCCTTGCGTCGAGGGTCGGCAGCGCGCTGCCCCTCACTCCTCGTCGTTCCTTCCCACAAAGGCTCCCTTCTAGACCCTGCACTTGGATGTTTGGGGCCCCTTCCTGGCCCTTGGCCCATGTCAGGAGCGCTACTTCCTGATTGTGGTGGACGACTACTCCCGCTACACCACGGTTTTCCCCTTGTGACGGAAGGCCGACGTGCCTACTGTCCTTGAGCCGTGGCTACTAGAGAGGGGTGGCGCCCACGCCCTTTGTGGGCTCCGCCTGCACTCGGACCGTGGTGGTGAGTTTTCTTCCACTCGCCTAGAGACGTTCTGTCAGGGTTGGGGGATCCTCTAGTCTTACACGCTACCAGCCTTGCCGCAGCAGAACGGGGTAGCCGAGCGACGCATCGGCCTTGTCATGGAGGTTGCCCGGACCTCCATGTGCCATGCTGGTGCCCCCAGTTCTTGTGGCCTCAAGCAGTCCGCTACGCCGCGCACCAGCTGAAACCGTGGCCCAGTGACGCACGGCCACGGGTGACGCTGGTCTCCCTTTGGACAGGTTCTTCGGGCGTAACAGCTGACTTCTGTGTCTGGGGTTCTCTGGCTCGCGTTTGCACCCCTGGCGCGAACAAGTTGTCTCTGCGCACTCGTGTCTGCGTCTTTCTTGGCTTCCCTTTGGACACCGCCGGCTGGGTGTTCTACGACCCACTCACCTACGAGTTCTTCTATTCCCAGGACATCACGTTTGACGAGTCTGTTTGTTACTATAGGAGTCGCCCCCACCGAGGTACTGAGGTCTTTCCCCCCCCCCTGGCCCTCACCCTTGAGCTGGTGATGTCGGTTCTTGGGGTGCAGGTTGTGTTGGCGTGGAGATCACTCCACTGGAGGACATGGCAGCCTCGACGCGGCGGCCTCGCCCCGCGTCACCCCCTGGCTTCCCATCATTCCCTCCTCGTTCTTCTCTGCGGCCGGTTTCGGCGGAGCTTGGTGGTGTTCCTGCGGGAGGTACTTGAGGCCCCGGGGGTGTCGGTGGTGGAGGTGCTGGTTCTGGGGGTGCTGGAGCTGGAGGCACTGGCACTGTGGTGCCTACACCGCGCACTGTACGATTCCTAACCTGTGAGCAGCGTCTCTTCCGGTTGGAGAGGGAGGAGCGTGAGCGGATTGAGAGGGCACAGCAGCTGCAGGAGCAGGAATAGTCTCAGTCGTAGCGGCAGGAGAGAGTAGAGGAGGAGCCGCAGCAGCAGCACGAGAAAGCAGAGGAGGGATCACGACTGCAGCAGCAGGTGCAGTTGCAGCCGCAGCAGGAGAGAGTAGAGGAGGAGTCACGAGTGCAGCAGCGGGTGCAGTTGCACTCGCGGCACGAGAGAGTAGAGGAGGAGTCACGGCCACACCAGGAGAGGGTAGAGCAGGAGTCCCGCCCACAGCAGTAGGTACAGTTACAGACACAGCAGGAGAGAGTAGAGGAGGAGTCACGGCCGCAGCAGGAGAGGGTAGCACAGGAGTCCCGGTCGCAGCAGCGGGTGCAGCTGCAGCCGCAGCAGAAGAGGGCAGAGGATGAGCCAAAGGAGCAGCAGCAGGGGCAGGTACCGTGACAGCAGACGCCAGAGGAGGCGGAGCAGCAGCGACTGCGACTGCGTGACCTGCCCGACCCAGCACCTGCACGCTTCGTTCTTGGTCCCCTACTGTCCCCTCCCGATCCCCCTGTCGAGTCCCTTTCCTTGTCCCAGTGGACTCGTCGTTCTCCCCTCAGTCATGCTGTGTCTCCAGAGCCCCGTCGGTCTCGTTACCGTGCAGACGGCACGTTTCACCTTGTTCTTCGCTCTCGTGTTCCACCTCCTTCAGTCCTTCCACAGCCTCCTTAGTCGTCCCTCACTGTGTTTCACGACCCATTTTTTGACTGCCTCTGTGCCTCCCGTCCTGTCGTCTCCTGTATTTTGTCCACGTTGGTCACTCACCCGACTGCACCCCTGTTGTCTGTCTCAGCTCTTGTTACCACTGTCACTGGCTTTGCCTCTTCCCACCGCCTTGACTACGCCGCTCACCTGGTGAGTGGCCCTGCTCGTTCTCCGTCCTCTGAGGTGCTCCTGTCTTTCCCCTGGAGGTCCTTGAGGACAGGCAGTTCGAGCTTAGTTTCCTTGCGGCCGCTGTTCCTCATCTCTGCGCCATGTTGCTTGCCCCTGAGGGGGATCTAGACGCTCTTTACATCCCGATCCCTCGCACAAACGATGAGGCGATCTCGGGACCTTGGGCCTCGTACTGGATAGCAGCTAAGGAGGCAAAGATGACATCTTATAGGTCCATAGGCACCTACCTCGACGCCGTTCCACCAACTGGGGCGAACGTTGTCAGTTTCATGTTGCTCTACAAGGTGAAGCAGCCGCCTGGATCACCACCGGTGTTCAAGGCGCGTTACGTATCGAGAGGCTTCAGTCAGCGAGAGGGGGTAGACTTCTTCCATACCTTTGCTCCCACCCCAAAGATGACCACTCTTTGGGTGTTGCTGCATATAGCAGCTCAGCGCGACTACGAGTTGCACTCCTTGGACTTCTCCACAGCGTTCCTATAGGGGAGCCTGCACGAGCAGAACTGGCTGCGTCGTCCGCCTAGCTTCACTAGTTCTTTCCCTCCTGGGACCCAGTGGCAGCTGCTTCGACCGGTCTACGACTTGCGCCAGGCTCCCCGCGAGTGGGATGACACGCTACGTACGACTCTTGCAGCACTTGACTTCTTTCCGTCGTCTGCCGACCCGTCGCTGTTTATTCGCCGTGGCTCGACCCCGTTCTTTATTCTGGTCTACGTTGACGACCTGGTCTTCGCCACTCCCGACCGACACGCACTGGCCTCTGTGAAGGAGGAACCGCAGGGAGACACACTTGCACTGACCTTGGTGAGCTGCAGTACTACCTTGGCCTGCAGATCACCAGGGACAGGGCAGCTCGCACCATTACGCTGACACGGTCGCATATGGTCGAGCAGATCCTCACGCGGTTCCGCTTCCTGCTCTCCAAGGTACAGTCCACCCCTCTTGCTGTGGATCATGGGCTCACGGCTCCACCTTCGGACGAGCCATTTGAGTCCAGTGGTCCATATACTGAGCTGGTGGGTTGTCTCATGTACCTGATGACCTGTACTCACCCAGACCTAGCTTACCCTCTTAGCGTCCTTGCACGCTTTGTTGCGTCTGGGAGACACAGACCTTCCCATTGGTACGCTGCTAAGAGGGTGGCGAAGTATGTGGTGAGTACATCAGGCATGGGACTTGTCCTTGGAGGGAAGAAGCCACTTACACTTACAGGTTTCTCGGACTCGTCGTGGGCCGACGACGCAAAGTCTCTGCGGTCTACACAGGGTTACTATTTCAGCCTTTCGTGGACGTCGACTAGGGCGTCGTCCATCTCTAGTTCGAGCTGTGAGGCAGAGGTGTACGCTGCGGTCATGGCCGCCCAGGAGCTTCGCTGGCTGTCTTTCCTCCTCACCGACCTCGGTGAGCGGCCTCGCTCTCCCCCAGTCTTGTTCGCCGGCAACAGGTCTGCTATCCTATTGTGCGAGGAGCCTCGACTGGTTGGGAAGGCGAAGCACATCCAGCTTTGTTACTTCCTTCTGCGAGAGTTGCAGCAGTGTGGCCAGGCACTCGTGCGACGTTTGGTCTCTGAGGCCAACACTGCAGATATCTTCACCAAGGCGTTGCCGCCTTGTGACCACCAGCGTTTCCGCACCCAGCTTGGCCTTGTCTCTACAGGCCCTCACTTGCTTGCGTAGAGATGCTTTGTCTTGTACTATTGCATCTCACTATATGTCATATATCTGTGCTTGTGGATAGGCCTTGTGACCCCTTGCTTTTGTAGAGATGCTTGTCATGCATGTCTGGTACTCTTGCATCTTCTATATTTGCTTTTTCATTGCATGTGAACTGGCCTTGTGGCCTCTTATTTGTTCTCGGAATGCATGGTGACCTTAAGATCCACCCCGAGCTTTGTTTTGTTTGTCTGAATGTTTTAGTCACAGTCAGATTTCTGCACAGCGGCTTTAAACGTTCATAGCGTTCTGGTCACGGATGCAAATAACCTGATTTAACTTGGATCTGGAGCGTCTTAACGCCGCCTACAATAAGCAATTTAGATCTCACGATTTCGTTAAGAGTGGACGACACAACGTTGGTTTGAACGAATGGCACTATGGCAGCCACTATAGGCTGAGGACACAAATTAGGAAGAGTTACGAGTTGGGAATGATTCCCTGCCGCTACAAACCCCAAGAGCCAATGTAGAGTGATGTAGAACAGTGTCACACTGTCCCCAACCATGAAGGGTCTCGAAAATACCCTCCACAAGGGCCTACACCAAGAGAAATGTTACACTACACAAAGTAATGCAGCTATTCTCACTATCTTTTCGAGAGTTTCGAAATCACTTGAATCTTGAAGCCAAGGCTTTGGTTCTTCAAGATAAGTTCTTCCTTCAATTCTTGGAAGTCTGCTGTGCACACCTGCAACACGCCGAACGTTCCACACACGACAGAATAGAAAACCGCACACGACACGCAAACGACGACGTGACACGCGACTAGCAATTACTCGCTATTGACTCGACAAACACATTCAAAATCATGTCTCATCATTCACACACTATTCTAAGCATGAAATATATATTATTGCATGCCCTCAACCCATTCCATGCACACACGCATGCACGCACATGGACAACAAGCCGAATGCAAACCGTAGGGTTGCACCAACACTGAACTGGTCCTGTGACCATTGTTTGCTCTTGCTGATTAGTCCTATGACCCTTACTCTTAGACTGTGTGTTGCTTTCCACAGGACTCCCATCACCTATACTATGGGAGTGTGTCAAACTATAATTGTTATGGTTTGTATTTGCTAGTCTAGGTGGTGTAAACTTACGTTTAGGGTTGGTTAGGGTTGACCAGGGTTTGCTATATCTTCCTTGTGTTTGTAATTTCTAGTCATTTCATTATTCTGTTACCTCGTTGACAGCTGCTGCTGCTGCTGCTGCCGCTGCTACCGCTGCCACTGCCGCTGCTGTATCCACTGGCAGACCCACTCTGCTCCTCCATGTCTCCATGATACCTCACCTTGGCAGTCCTCCGACAGAGATCATACACTTTTTCGGGGCTCAAAACCTCACTCGCCTTCCCTCCCAGCTTTCCCCTACATGTCTCACTGCCCCCATTGACATACGCCGACCAAGCAATCATTGCCGCACCGCACCACGACCAAACCTCCTCCCATACTTCTCCACCATCCCAGAAATCCTCCTCACCACCCCTGCCACCCCCAAAGCCCCCACGGCTCCAAAATCTCCCTCCTCCAACCCACCCTAGCCCCTCCAGCGGCGTCCGGCTGCCGTCCTCATCGAACCCGCCGGGAACGAGAACGGGGTGCGGCCATCTCAAAGCGATGCTGAGCAGCAGGGCCATGGGCACACGCTCCACCTGCTCCCACACGCGCTCGAGATTCTCCTTCTCTTTCTTCAGAGAGGCAACGCCCATGGGTAAGGGGTCCAGCCCCTGCATGCTGATGATGTTGTTGAACTCCTTGGAGTGCGGTGGGTCAACAATGGTTCAAATGCAGGTCCAAATTTGTTTGGTGGACCCCCTCCAACGGGACTCGCGAAGAGGAAGCGGTAGAACAGGACGCTGGCAGGGCCGTAGGTGAAGTTGGCAACGAGGGTGACGAAGGGGATGTGGGAGGTGTAGTTGATGCATCTCTTGCACTTGGAGCAATCCGGTGGGGTGAGCATGGCAGCTGCAAACTCCAAAATGCAGTCCACGTCTGCAAGACAGCGAACGATGGGACGGTGGCTGGCTGTGGGAGGAGGTGAGAGAGTGCGCATGAGAGGGTTCTTCATGCCTCCCTGCCCCCCCCCCACGCCCTCTGTTCCTTCGATCCCTCCTCCTACCTCCTGCCTTGGATGATTGGGCAGGGAGGTTTTTCTTACTCTCCTTGCTCCCCCCATTGACTTCCGGAATTCCCAGGCCAAAGCACCTCGCGCTGCAGTCTTCAGGAAGCTTCAAAACAGCTTCCTCTCCCTGAGGCCACTCCTCCCACTCCAAAGGGAAGCTCCTTTCGTGCAGAGGCTCAGGGATGGCGCCGAACCTGAGAAGCAGGCCTGGAAGGTCCCGAAGCGGATGTCGTATGGGCAGGACCTTGCCTTGTGGGTTGTCCTTAAAGCATTTCTTCTCTGGGATGAAATCAGAGCCATAGGTTCGGGCCCACTGCAAGATGCAAGCAGCTAAAAACGTCATGACAGCAATAGCCGGGTTGGTGTTGACAGGCACTAGCCTTTAGCTGGTCACAGGCACTTGAGTGACATCGAAAGCAATGCTGCCAGAAGCAACACATGCGTCCAGGGAACAGGAGCCAACATCGGTCCAAGCTTTGTCACTGGGTGTTTGGGGAGCTGCTGCTATGAGTTCGCCTCCTCCTGCTCCTTCTTCCCCGCTTGCTCTCCCATAAACCCCCCTTGCCAGCCCCCCACGTCTCAGTCTCTACCTAACCTCCTCGATTCCAGCAGCCTCCACGCGGGTCTGCTGTGGATTGCTGGCATCCAGGGAGAGGCAGTCTTCATTCTTACGAGACTCTGACTCTGACCCTGGCCGGCAGTACACAGACGCCACAACCACGGCGAAGTCAGTGGCACCCACACCACTCACATACATGCCCTTGGGGATATCCCTGCCCTCCACACTGCTGCTGTTGCTGCTGCTGCCACCTCCACCAATGCTGCTGCTGCTGCTACCACTGCTGCCCTCCTCACTACAGTGGCTGCACCTGAACTCCCTCCCTTCCCCCCCTCCATGCTCCAGAATCCAACCCATGCCATCCACATACCTCTCCCACTCACGCCCCTTCAGATTCTCCCTCCACTGCCCACCCTTCTCGCCCTTGCCCTCAGCAGCACCCCCATTGAAGCCCCCCCCCCACGGCACCACCAGCTCCCCCCCTCCCCTTCTCCTCGGCATGCGCCTTGCCCAGCCCGCCTGACAGAATATTCTGCATGAGAATACCAAACCCTTCCTTCAGATCAGCGCTCTCCTTGACCCCCAGCACCAGCACCAGCATGGAAGCGAAAGAATCTTCCTCTGCCTACCTGCCCGCCCCCAGATCCTCCAAGATTGATGGGTAGGCCACCTCCTGTGACTCTTTGCAGACCTGCCATGGATTCACAAACCGAGGCCATCTCGCCACAAGCACGAGGAAGGCAGCGAAGCGGACAGCACATGGGTAGGCAGCCCAGCAGCTGCTGCAGCGCCAACAGCAGGGAAACGCTGCAGCATCCTAGTGTAGACATATTTCCCATCGAGTAGCGTTGAAGTCCTCAACTTTGATGTCAGAACGAATTTTGTTTGCATGGTTACAAATGCTTCTCACTGTGCGCGTTGTTGACTATCATGCACAGGAGCTGAAGCTTGACGGTTGTGAAAGATGAAAGACCTCTCGGAGTTGATGCGGCGGTCTTCTCCAGGGAGAGGTACCCAAGCAACTCTTCTTGCGTAGCTTGAGCCATCGATGCTCATTGCTTGATGGTTCTCAAGAGCGTTGATGCGAGCAACGAGTTGCTCGATGAGGGCGGCGCTGACGGAGGTCACTGCTGATGGCGCATTCATTATTGCTGGTGGTGGGCTCGGTGAGTCGGCAGTAGCTTTCCCTTCAGGAGCCATTGCGATGCAGAGTTGTAACAGGTATTTTAATGAGTAATTTTATAGGGAGTTTGTTCTAGGAAGAACAGGAACTTGGAAGATCTTATCATCCACTCTAGCACTCATACCATGTTGATATAACCGGGAATCGTAGTAGATAGGATAAGGTTTGCTAAATTGTAGGAAGACGATGAAGTCTTGTGATGACCTTGTTAATAATGGTTGAAAAGAGAAGATGATTTTAAGATAAAGTACAAGGATATCAATATCAATCTAGCTAGCCATGTACTATGAGGGGTACATTCCCTTATTACTGTATTGCATTGCTACAGTAACCGCGACTATTGCTCTACTCGACAGTTACCATGTTGCATTGTGTAACCTCCGAGTACGGTTACTAGGCGGTCAACAGTCACGACCGTTGACTAATTGTGACTGTTGACCTTCGAGTGACTCTCGAGCTGCCGCGTGCTCTATACGAGCTTAACGCGATAGTAGTACAGGTGCAATGTCTCGCTATGAAGCGATGCACTAAGTGAAGCCTTCGGAAATGTTGTCATAGCCATCGGTTATTCCAACAGTTTTTTGGGGAACTCTGAAAACCAGGGCTGGTCTTGAGCGTAACTTTGATTTGTCAGATAAATTTGAACTTAGAAAACAAAATCCTGGGCAGTCAGTGTTAGGGCATGTTGCAAGTGCAAAAACCGTCAGATCACCGAACCGCTCACCGAGTGTGACAGTACATAGATACTGGGCTTGGTGTGTGAGCCTAGATACGATCGATCTGCAAAAAAAAATGTTGGGTTTTGTACCACGATTGCCTAGTGACAGTGCATAATTGGCGAGCTCACGATCGATCGTGACTGCCAAAGCGATCGATCTGGCCCTCGCCAAATTTTTCTGTCTTGCAGAGTGTCTTGCACTATTGTCGAGTACTTGCAACACCGTCCTTACTTTTTCTAACTCTGAATATGTCAAACATTATATGTCTATATTGTACTAGGCTGTAGTGGTTTTAGCCTTAGCGGGTACAGTAATTCTCTCGACCTTGTACTTGTACTCCCCCCTTTGACCTAATGCACACCATTCCAGATTATAACATGGTATCAAAGCCATTAGGTCTTTAGGACCAAATTTTTAAAAGGGCCCACCGTTAGTTCCTGGCCGAAACGCGCCCCTTGGCGTGTCACGTTTTTATCCTGCCCAAAACGCGCCCTAGGCGCGTCGATTTTCTCTGCCTAGCCCTGCTGCCCCACTACCCAGTCCCCGTGCCCCACTGCCATGCCTGAGCGCCGCCCTGCCCACGTGCGCTCTGCCTGCAGCTGCACTGCCCTGCCTGCTCGCGCGCTCTGCACGCGCACCCTGCTGCCCACCCGCGCTCTGCCCGCATGCGCTTTGCCAGCCCCACCAGTGCGCTTTACCCACCCACACGCTGCCCTGCCCCGCAAATGCGCTGCCCACTAGAAGCCTGCGCCCTGCCCGTGCGCACCCCACGCGCACCCTGCCTGCTCCCTCCCCGTCCATGCTGCTGCTGCTGTCACTTCTACAGCTGCTACTGCTGCATGCACTACTGCAGCTGCTAAGCGCTGCTGCTGCTGCTAAGTGCGCTGCTGCCACTGCTGCTGGCCACTGCCGCTACTGCTACTGCCCGCTGCCACTGCTGCCCTGCCTCCACGTGCTGCTCAGCGCTGCCATGCCCCGCCTGGCCGCCGCCAACACTGCCCTGCCAATCCGCAGCTGCTGCCGCCACTGCTGCTGGCTGTTGGTGCAACCCTACGGTTTGCATTCGACTTGTTGTCCTTGTGCGTGCATGCGTGTGTGCATCGAATGGTGTGAGAGCACGAAATCATATATATTTCATGCTTACAATAGTGTGTGAATGATGAGGCATGATTTGTTTTTTAATGTGTGTGTTGAGTCAATAGCGAGTCATCACAAGTCGCGTGTCATGTCGTCGTTTGCGTGTCGTGTGCGGTTTTCTATTTTGTCGTGTGTGGAACGTTCGGCATGTCGCAGGTGTGTGCAGCAGACTTCCAAGAACTCAAGGAAGAATTTATCTTGAAGAACCAGAGCCTTGGTTTCAAGATTCAAATGATTTCGAAGCTCTCCAAAAGGGTAAACTTCAAGATAGTGAGAATAGTTACATTACAATGTGTGATGTAACATTTCTCTTGGTGTAGGCCCTTGTGGAGGGTAGTTTCGAGACCCTTCGTTGTTGGGGTCAGTATGGCACTGTTCCACATCACTGTACCTCGGCTCTTGGGGTTTGTAGGAGCTGGGAGTCATTCTCAACTCGTAACTCTTCCTAATTTGTGTTCTAAGACTATAGTGGCTGCCATAGTACTGTTCGTTTAAACCGACGCTGTGTCGTCAATTCTTAATGAAATCATGCAATCTAAATTTGTTATTGTAGGTGGCGTTAAGACTCTCCAGATCCAGGTTGAATCAGGTCATTTGAAGCTGTTACCAGAACGCTATCAACGTTTGAAGCCGCTGTGCAGAAATCCGACTATGCACTCTCTCTTTCGTTTTAGGCACATTCAAGCCTATTGTGACTATAACAAGTGGTATCAGAGCCCCTTGAAGCAGTTTCGACAATGGCTGGACCTGAGGAAAGGGGTGGCAGAGGTGCTGGTGGCAGTGGAGAAGCCCAAGATCAAGGCCAACCCCGTGATCCCACCATGTCTCCCATGCAACCAAGTCTTGGCCCAGCTAGGGATGAGCCTAGGGTGTTGGGGCTTGACAAATTCAACGGTGACAACTTCGCTGAATGGTCCTTCAAGATGGAGAACATCTTTGACCACTATGACCTTCTGGAGGTGATGGAAGGAACGGAGAAGCGCCCCGAGAACGACCCGGAGAAGAGCCCGTGGGTGCGGAAGAGCGCAGAAGGCTATCTCCTACTTGGGCAAGTGTTGGGGAGCAGCCAAATCCGTCACATCAAGCCATTCCAGCGTGAACCAGAAAAGGGACCAAAGGCATGGGCTGCTCTCAAGGGTGTACATGCACCTGCAACAGCGGCCGTAGCGGTGGTGTTGGAACGGCAAATGGCGGCACTACGAATTGAAGAACACGAAGCGGTTGAAGAAGGGGTGCAGAAATGATGGGAGCTGATTTGAACTACAACGAGCTCCAAAAGAAGACCAAGTTGCTGGCCTTACTCCTAGAGTCATGGTCCTCGCTCATCATCAACCGCAATCGTGACTTGCCCCGCCTCTCGCTTGAAGACGTGAAGCGAGCGATTCTTCAAGAGGATTTCTGACGCCGTGAGTTGGCGGGTTCGGATGGCGCCAGGGCAGCAAGCATCGGCCGGGGATATGGTCGTGGAAGGGGCAGAGGACGAGGAGGAAGGTTTGGAGGCAGCAACTACAATGGAGGCCGCGGAAGTGGCAGCTATGGCAATGACAACAAGAACTATGGACGCGGTCGCGGACGGTTCGACGGCGAGTGTCATTTTTGCCACAAGAGCGGACACATGTGGCGTGCTTGCTACAAACTCCCTGATGGATGGACTCCTGCTCAAGGCCAAGAGGGTAAAGGAGCAGAGGAAGGGAGAGGAAGAGGCCGTGGAGGCCGTGGCGGTCGCGGAGGTGGCGCTGCAAATATGAAGAACGGTGACAACGAGAGCGAGTCGAGGGACGATCGCTTTCTGGGTCAAATCTTCTTCGTGTCGACGCAAGCACCGGCTGCACCAGAAAAGGATGAAAGCTTTGAGGAGCCTGCTGCTGTGGGGAAGGTGACCCTACACTCCCTGGATTATTGGGTGATCGATAGCGGCGCTACCTATAGCATGACACCTCGTGCGGACTTGCTCACTGAACTTGATCCGTCACTGGTGAAGCATGTCACATCGGCTTTGGGGCAGCGATCAGAGGTGAAAGGCATGGGCAAGGCCATGTTCAAGGGTGCTGATGGGAAGATGGTGGGCCTCAAGAATGTGCTTTGGGTGCCCAACCTTGCTGCGAACCTGATTTCCGTGTGGCGGTTGCAAAAGGCCGGCATGGACACGAGCTCGAAGGGAGCCAAGACCTACACTGCAAGGATTGGCGAGCGGGTTCTTTGGGACCTTCATGAGGATAGGGATGTCTACAACAAGATGTGGCAGATCCCTGTGGTCCCTATGCCTAAAGAAAGGCAAGTGGCAGCAAGCGTCAGCACCAAGGGTGAAGCGGTGGGTAGCGGCTACGGCGCAAATGATGGCGCCAAGGCGAAAGAGTCCAACAAGTGCAAACCTGGAGGGAAAAGCAAGCAGTGTGAGCTTGAGGAGAGTGGTGCAGCAGCCAAGGAGCAGCACAAGGGTGAGGATAACCCCAAGGCAGCAGCGGAGGAGGAGTACGGAGAGAGCATGTGGGGCACTATTGCGAGTGCGGCATTCTCCAATCCGACTTCGGCTACGGGGGAGTGTGATTGGCTCACCTTGCATCGGCGAATGGGGCATGTGACCCTGCCCATCTTGCAGCAGCTAGTGAAGAATGAGATGGTTGCTGGCATACGTGTGAAAGGGGAGCCAGATGAGGTA